GTTGGGGCACAATGTTAAGGTTGTGGTGATGGAAATGGTATCGTGTTGTCTTCACTCTGTGTGCTAGCTAGGCAAGGAGTAGCCTTGTTCCTCATTCCCAGGTCATTTCTTACTCCTGTCCTGGGAACAAGGCTATTAGACTATGGGTACAACTGTGACTCCAGTCATCCCTGGAAAGATTGTGGCACACTTCTCTGTCTGCTAAGCTTAATATTGGGCAGTCAGTTGCATGGCTGGTGTCTGTATATATAGCTAGAGGTCAAAGGTTTGAGGAGTCCACTTCTCAGTTTTTAAAATTCAGTTTTCGACATTCGATCTGTTCTTGGTATTTGTCCACCTTTGGGGATGGATTGTCCAATTTTACAACCAGGTTACACATTTTTACTTTGGGGATAGCTCTTCCTGGGGCCACAAAAATGCCTCGTTGGTGTAGAATAGAAAGTCTGCAGAAAGTAATAATCAGAGACACTCTATGTAGGGATGCAAAAAGTCACTATTACACACACCAAAAAACACCACACTTTGGTACCCAAAAAGATGTGCAGTGAATGATACAGCATGTTTGGATAATAATGGCAGACCTTATTAGGTGCTGAGAAATTTGGTCTTAGTTTCTGTCTTCTCTCTCCAGGAAACATGCAGTGTTCCTCTGGGGATAGCTGCTGAGAAGGGACATACTGAGACAATTCAGAGACTGTTTGATGCAGGAGCCAATGTAAACCACAAGGACAAGGTGATGACAACTACAGTCCTGATTCCTACTTTCAGTTATGGTTACTATCTACGACTGTTGCTAGCAGAGAACTTAGTCTTTGTTGAATCTGGCAATGGACCTTGACAGGACCAATTATGTAGCCACAATACCACCACATAACTGCTGTATACAAACCCAGTCCACAGCAGAGCTCATGAACCATTCTCACCTCACACCATGTCCCATGTCCAGTGTTCTGTTGTATGTTCTCTACAGAGTGGACAGACTCCAGTCTACTTGGCCTCCTGGAATGGTCATGCAGCTGTAGTTCAACTGCTGATAGAGAATGGAGCTGACATCAGTATCTGTGATAAGGTACATACCGTTAGTTTTCATGTCCAAAAACTAACCTGCATTTTGCTGTTGGTTTAAGAAACTTCACGAGAGTCTGTTCCACTTGCACCTCTCCGTTGCATGTATAGTTACTGAAGCCTTCATCTTGTGGCTAACGTTATATACAGTCTGATTACTAAAGCCTGCCCTTGAAACCACCACCCTGTCCAAAGATGCAATAACCTAATTTATGTCGTTTTATAGGAGACAATACATTGTCTCTGTGGATGTCTACTGCACCCTGCTTCAGGCATAGCTACTGGTTTCAACAAGTTAGAATTCGTCCATCTGGTCACCCTACAAAATACACATGCAAATCGTGTTGCGATAACTGTTCATTAAAAATGTCAATTCACAGCAAAGACAAACAATGCTACAAGAAAAGCATGCTTTTAACATACTAGCCATAGAGAATAACAAGAAGGAAAAGAACACTTGTATCGTAAATACAACTGCCCCATCCATTGTTACCATAATTATTATTATTGAACAAAGATCGGAATGGTGTCGTGTAGCCTGAAGTGCCTTTGCTATGGAAATACACCTTTTTGATGCTTCCATCCATCCCTATATCCCCTTAATTATGGAGAAATGATTTTCCACTTAATACAACTGCCATTACAATGGTGGATTTTGGGAGTGCTGCCTTACACCTAATTTACATATTATTGCCCTGTAGCAATAATATGTAATTCTAAGCGCTTTATAGCTAAGGCACAATCTACACATATTTGGAAGTCCAGAAGTATCCATATCTAGGTTGCATGTGTGTGTGGCTGGTGGTTGTTGCCAGTTGCTGCACACTGTAGAGTGGGAGAGAAAAGGAACAGCAGCCTCAAATTGTTCATCTTACATATGTAGCTGACTAAGGAATGCAACACATTGTTTGGTGACCAAGTCAATATTTGATATTTGATATTTTATTTCGCGTGCATCACGTACAACATTACGTGTGGTATGAGCAGTTGAATATTTCACGTGTGTTTTGCGTGTAATTAGAATGATGCAATACGGACGGTCACGGTGCTATAGTTTACAGCAGTGCAGTAATATTTCCCACGTATATTGCATCTATTTAGAAGCACGTAGAACATTACGGTATGTGTCATATCGCCAGGTACGCCCCTTGAGACGACTAGGTAGGATCGCTTCACTCGCCAATAATAATTGCAGTAATGGAAGTTGCCCTGCCCCACGTGGAGTGAATGACCTTGCCTCCTAGCAATCTGGGTTAATTATTCCACTCATATAATTACAAATAAATTCCCATCCACATCGAAACATTCTTCTGGTATTGTAATGGGCAGTTGGACTCCAGGTTCCAGATTACCTCACTAGTGGTGTCCTACTTCCTACTGCTGTACAGGATGGTCTCAGTCCACTCTATGTTGCCAGTCAAGAAGGACGCTCTGATGTAGTGGACATTCTGCTAGAGGCTGGTGCTGATGTCCAGGCCACCACCAAGGTATGATCACTGGAGGCTAATCACCACGTCCATTATAGCGTTTAAGATATTGTAGCGTGGCTTATGCGCATTCAACAGCTTCCTCAGGTATAGCAATACCGATATCAGATCGAGCACACATATGGATTTAGCAAGGTGCTTTTATAGTGTGTTAGTGTAAGGGGCGAGTTATATGGGGGAACAGGATAACATATTTTCTACATGTGTATGCAGAGGCAGGATATGGGTGCTTGCTGGCTTCATTGCCGCGGCCCAATCCACTGTGCCAGTATTTTGATTTCGGGTTTTGGCTCGGTGCTGGCCTTGACCAGCAGGAGTGGGGAGGGGCCTAGGCTCCAACCACAAATGTCTGGGCAGGGTCAGCACATACCAGTGGCAAAGCCTTGTGGGGATGAATCTCATTAGTTCAGAACCACAAGTGCTGCCAGAGAGTGGTATGCTCTGCTGATGATGGCCCAAACAGCTGTCCAGAGCTCCACATGTTTTTTCTCTTGGCATCACATGGTATTTTCTACATGTGGGTATGTAAGTCAGGGGCAGGTGAGGAATGTTCAGGTTGCACAAGACAACCTGAGTCGAGTCATGTAGCTTCTGTTGTATGTCTGGTTACATAGGGCGAAAATGTCTTTGTTTTACGAAAATATTGAACTAGGATTGAATTTGTCGATGGTCACCCTACAACATACCCATGCACATCAGATTGAATAAATGCAGTGTTGCTATAGCTATTTGTTAAATATAGTGGAAAGTCTTCAAAGGGATAGGCATGGCTCGAAGCACCAAAAAGGAAGAAGCAATTGGTCATTACACAGCAATGATGCACAAGGCTACATGACACCATCCCAAAGGCATAGCAATGGTGTCATGTAGCTTTGTGTATATAAATTATAATGAGACCTTGTTTCTTTTTGGTGCTTCCAGCCATCCCTATATCCCCTTCTACACTAAAGTGGGAACCCTCGGCGAAATACACATGCGCGGTACTGCTAATTGTGGGCTGGGCTGTTTACTCGTGATCTCCTGCTGAGCTCGTGGAGAGTCTGGCACTAGCTAGCTACCGTAGAAGATAGCATGCTGGAGTCGATACACACCCTTCTTTGTTACTTCTTGTGCCTTCAAGATACACAGAGCAAGCGGACCCGGTCGAGGTAAGCCTGTGCATATTGGCTTGTTCACTTTCTTTTCATGCCATAACTTTAGAACGCAGTAGTTTTATGGAAATCACCATTTTTGTATTGGAGAAGTGAGTCGGAGTTTCTGGAGCTTACTGCTCTCTTATAGACACGATTTCGTTTGTTTATTTTTGCTCTGATACAATTGTTCAACCAGGGGAGACTACGTGGGGTTGCCATAATAGTCACTTTGGGTATACACATTCCCCTATTCCCATAAACGTCTTGTGCCACAGACTCCATGCTTTCTCAATGTCTGATTCTCTGTAAATATCGCTCCAGTCTGTGGAGCGTATAATAGCATTGGCTTTGGTAAAGTCTGCCTGGGAGTATCTCCAGATTGTTCGTGCACCATTATTAGTAGTCTTTTGGATGGAAGGAAGCATCTTCAAAGCAAGGTGAATCCCATCATGGTCCGAGTTGCTGAGAGGAGGGATTACTGAGCATTCCTTTAGCTTGGATGAGGATGATATCAAGGCAAGGTCAATTTTTCCGTTGTGAGAGACGTGAGTAGGGGATGAGACCACTTGAGTTAGATCGAAGCTGTTCTTAATGTATAAAGTTTAGAAAACAGTGGGTGTTGTTGGTTGAGGAAATCGATATTAAAATCTCATAAAAGTACAAAAGTAGGGAAAAACTCTGACATCGAGGCTCTCAAGAATAAATTATTGCTTCTCTATCATGGGGTGGTTGATACCACACTCCCACATGAAGTTTTTGTGTTGGCTTACTTGCATCGTATACAGAGACCAAGTGGACCTCTGATCCATTGTTCCCAGACAGTAGCGCCTGTGACTCTATAGTGTGTCAGATATAAACATGGTTACTCCTCCACCACAACAATGTCTGTCATGTCGTATACAATGGTACCCTTGTATAGAACATTCCAACAACACAATTTCATCACAGAGCCATGTTTCTGAGATGCATACAATATCAGGCTTCTCAAGGGCACAGTAGACACGTAGTTCATCTATCTGTGGGTGAAGACTTCTTGCATTGTAGTGTATTATGCACAAATCTGTTTTAGAGCTTTCACCCTTCACTTGATGTTTTAAAAACGTCGCCATGTAGTGTAGTAGTGTGTAGAAACCACTTTGTAGCTATTTTTGGTGCGTTTTTTCTGACTGGTATCGTAGTTAAAAGAATTCTTTATAGATAAGGCACACATCAATATTTTTTAATGGAACACGCCTTTGCGTGTGTTTGGAATAACGTATAATAACATTACTGTAAGTGCAGTGTGGCGGTGCTGTCACATGCAATATAATATTGCTAATGTTGTTGAGAGGTTGTTTACCTAAATTCAAATTTGTGTTGTATCCAAAAGCCATTTGGCAGTAGTACTCTTTGGGCCCATTTTCCAATTTGAATGTCAAACTCACATGTCAAAAGCAAATTTATATCTACAGCCTCCACATACTGATACTTACTGGTGACAGAAGCAAGCCAGGCTTGTATATAGTCTGAGTCAAACGTCCTGAATCAGTCTGGACTGTCCCGCTAATCGTCTCTTCGTCTCGCTGTCCTGCTTACCAATGCATTTATCCTGCTCTCGGGTACATTGGGATTGAGTAACAGTTGTATTTCCCTGGTACTGTCTGTGATGGGTGACCTTCTCTCTCATCAGAATGGTGGTGTTCCTCTGGGGGTAGCTGCCCACAATGGACGTACTGAGACAGTTCAGAGACTGTTGGAGGCAGGAGCCAACGTCAACCACCAGAACAAGGTGTGTGTTTTGGTTGTCTACACTTACAGTATATACATACACACCTATCTTTCTTCTCTCTCCTTCGTGTCTTTCCACTCTCTCTTGGTAATGATGACAGCTCAGGTGTACGCAGTAAAAGTGCAGGCATATAATTATAATAACCTTGATTATCTCATGAATAAAAGTGTCTCCTTGAAGTAAAAATGGATTTGCATTGTCGATTTTGCTGTTCATAGACTTATTCTCCACATAGAATGGAACCACAGCCTTGCTCGTTGCAGGATGGAAAGGTCACTCAGAGGTGGTGAAACTACTGCTAGGAGCTGGGGCCAGAGACATTCCTAATAAGGTAGACCAACTCTAAACATGTAGAGAAAAGAGTGTCCTACTGTCTATCCTGATGGAATTCTCTCTCTGCCTGTCTCTATAGTATAGTTGGCTATCTTCTCTCTCTCTTCATTGTCTGATGAATGTCTCTCTCTACAGTTTGGAGCCACTGCTCTGAGCAAGGCCAGAGCCAACAACCACAATGATGTGGTACAGTATCTACTGCAACACCAGCCAAAGTAATAAACTAGCCACAGTTACAACTACATAAGTACACAACACCTTTTTTATGGACGCATAAATACATAACTGTATTTTACAGATTTTGTTTGTGTGATGATAGCACAGAACATTATTAATTAAAAATCTGCTATATACAAAACCTCCCCTGCCAGTAGTAGTATATAGCGAATTAGCGATGAAGATGAACATCTCGCTTCACACACTGTAATATTCACGGTACAAACATTTATCAAAATAGATGGTGACTGGTATATACAACTTGTCAAAATACACCATGCTTATTGTGTTGACAAGCATTATGTAAGGAGGATGGTACATTGTAACTAGTAACTAGGATGCAGTGTTGTGTGGTAGTTGAGTAACTCCAGTTGTCACTGTCTGGAGAGGAGCTCTCTGTCTCCACTCACTCCATGACCCCTACAACAACAACAACAACAGCAACAATGCTCTTTTTGGTGATGATCTCAGTATTTGGAGAAGTGTTTTTATAGCCCATACACCAGCCAAGTATATACTGCACTCCCCCATCAATGACTATAACATTGTTGCATCTCATGCAACTTCAAACCATGCAACATGTTCCATCAATAGGTATGCCTTCTACTTTGTGTCACAGCCTATACACCATGATACAGTTGCCTTGAAAAAGTTGCATGGGTATAGTGGCCTTTAGAATAGTACTACAAAAGAAGGTCCCCTATACTGCATTTGTCTGTGATAACATCAGAGAGACAATGGTAGTGTATTATCTTACATCATAGAGAGGGATGGTGGTGTTGAGAGAGTGTGCAGCTAGAGCAATGATAGCTGCAGTGACACCACTACCACATGTGGCAACCACTGGCTGGGTTAAGTCCACTCCAGACCTCTGGAACTCTAGAGAGATACACAGAGAGAGAGGGAAGAGGGGGGGCTATCATTTTGCCTACATTAATATCAACACCTGTAATCTTGCAATACACACCAGGCATTCTGCTTTTGTTAGTACAGGGCACTTTGGCATTTTACCTAAGAAAGTGAAATAGCTATCCTAGACTTGCAACCAAAGTTCCTTTTATTTTACTACTCGAAGGCATTTCAGAGGTTTCGTTTACCAATGCTATGCTTTGCTGGTGCTTCTTTGCTTTTAGAAGGGTCCATTATAACAAGTTCAACTGTAGGTAGCATGACTATAATAATATGCTGACAAATCATTTAACTACGTATGAAATCTGCCAGTGGTGCTTGCAAAACAGACCTACCGACCCCTGCACTCCCACTGAGCATCCAGTAGGCTACTGTAGTGGATGTTGACTGCTCCCTTCATCCCTCCACTGGGCAGAGAGGGGCGGGGCTCCGGGACCTCACCTCTGAACCTGGCATTGCTACGTGCATCTACAACCTGAGACCAATGTGTACCACAGAGTGTAGCACTGAAAGAGTATTGGATCAACTTACACACATCAAACTGCTATACCCAAAGAGTTCCCATAGACTATCATAACACCATATATTATATACATTGGCCAAAATTCTGTGTCCATCAGTTAGAGGTATCCTTTATGTAGGTAGGGTAGCTATCTAATATGTATTGGCCAGAACCAAGTGTCCTTTAAGAGGGTCCTCTCTTGTGATTACAGCTAGTAATTAGTCAGAGGGCAGGGAAAAGAATTTGCTGTGATTATCGCAGTCCTACAGAAGTGACCTGTTCATGACGAGATGTGTGGTTATCCAACATCTGCCCGTATGTCCTGAGCAAGTGAGGGTTGAGGGGTGACAGCTACTTAATATATGTTTGGGCTTTCTTAAAAGAAATAGTAGCAGAGATCGAGAAGACAGCTTAGAGTGAGTAATCTCAATGTGTACCATGAACATACACTACTTGCATCGTTTGCTGCTCTTCTCTACCACTTTTCTAGTCTCGTCTACCTTAGCTCTTGTTTGTACGCAGTGCATGATCCATCAATGTATGTCTGCATGATGGGTCGCGCGCAATAGAGAACACTTCTAATTTCAAGCAACATGTTGCATGGACCTTACATAGAAGCTAAGTAACAAGATTGCACAGTGAATGGAGGCCATTATGAGAGGAGAGAAGGAGAGAGAACTGACTCTGAACATCCACCAGACTCTGGCAGAGGCCATCAGTCCCTCACTGTGTCCATCATACACCACCACATGATCTCCATTACCCACTCCCATCTGGACACATGGAATAGTAGACAGCATGCATTAGCTCTCATACTAAATGAACCCAGTTGGTATCAGGGCAAGGTAAATGCGTTCAGGACAAGGAATAGGAAAAAAAAGCTGCCCTCGAACCCACGATAATCTTCTCAATCTCCCAAGCCAACCTGTCATACAAGGAAAGAGGGTCTGGTTTGTGAGACTAACTCTTCTTTTTTAAACTGAGTGCTCTACCCACTGAGCTATAAACCAGCAGCCATGGCTCATAAAATAAACGGCACCTCAAATACTCTGTGCTATAGTACAGAAACCCATGTGCCCATCACACAATGCAATGTGAGAGCAGTGTTGCATGTGAGAGTGGCCACTGACCTTGGCCACGAGGTCTGGAAGCGGTGAGGGGAAGGGATCATGTGAGGATAGGGAGAACTCTGCTCTGACACCTCGTCAATGTCAAAGTGCTGGGCTCCAGCCAATCTCTCACCCAGGAAGGCCGCCCTCCCCTCTCCCAACATGGTCCACGAGGCTGAACACAAGTGATTGTAGACAGCTTAGCTACATCGTAGAGTGTGTAGCATCTCTCATCCATCCGTCTAGTATTTCTCGGTCCCGTCCGTTATGCGCATGCGCCGGCAATTAGAGCTACAGCAGTGATACGTCTAACCTGTATGGCTTGCAGCGTACATATCCAGGTAAATACACTATTTTGGGTAGATGGCACAAGTAAGGTGGATCTTAGAAGATAAGCGCCCATAATAAGAAGATAAGCGGTCATAATGGCCTAGTCCGTGTAACACTGGTAGGTAGCTGGAGTAACATTTGAACATAAACAAAGGATTATAGCCGTCGTGATTACTGTTTTCTGTACCGTTTACTCGCATAGGTGTGCGCGCGCCAGAGCTAGCTAGCTGCGCGCGTCGCAAAACTTTGACCTCTTGGTATGCTACACTGAAACTGGCTGTGGGCCAGCTTGCATGTTCGATGTCTTTAGCCTTCATTGTGGTCTGCTTTAGCTGTTTTAGATCGCCGTAGTCTGCTCTACTTCTAGCAGCCTATCGAAGTTTCTGATCGCCTTTCACCTTTGAAGTCAGTAGTCAACTGAAAGTTTGAGCTCTCTTCACGCATGAGACGTGACGGACATAGAGCGCAACACAGGTATGTATAAGCTAACATCCAACTCTACCTGTAATAACAGTGACAGCCTGCCCTGACCAAAAAAATAGCCGCCACAACGTGAGTTATTCCGAATTGCCCGCTTACATGGTCTTACAAGCCCTGCCCATTAGTCCCTCGTGGGTCGAGTGTGCTGGCCGAAGGTAAATGCCAATGTCTTTCATTTGCAGTAAATTATTTATAATTATGAGCTTATCCTAATGTACACAGCACCGACGACAGTGGATGAAAGGGAATCGTCGTTCAGAGCGCCTTCGCTGAAAACTGCGCATGCGTGTATGATCTTACAAGCCCTGCCCCTCGTCTCTGTGTGTGCAGATAGTAATGGCCGAAGGTAAAGCCCAATAACCTTGATTTGCAGTAGATTACTTTATGAGATTTTCCAATGTACACAGCACCGACGACGGGTGGCGATGTCCTGACTCCAAACGATGCCGTCAAAGTACTGGAGGAGCTACTACCAGCACAGAACCAGTCCTACGAACTGGGCCTGAGGCTGAATCTGAACATTACGGCATTTGTGGCCGTCACATAAAAACTGCATTCATACCCACGACACTCTGCAGTCTAGGTGCCAGTGCTCTAGCTCTAAGTTTGACTATCTTGTGTCTCTCTTGCATTCAGACTGCTATATAAGTATACAAGCTCGTCTTGCACCTTTGCCATGACATCACCCCCTTTCTCCTCCTTCCCTCACTTTAATCATATCCTCACAGCACTTCCCAGGCCAAAGGTCATGACAGTGACGTTCTCCTGAAACCAGTCAACTTCTATAGAGACCCTTTCTTCCTGGTCTGCATTAACCTCTATAACTAGTGTCAATGTGTTTGGTGATCAATCTCAGCATCCTAATGTATGAGAAAAGGCCAACATTGATGGTCTCATGCAACGTAAATGTATGGGTATGATGTGTCTGCATGTTTCATGCAATAGACAACACTCCTTTTGTCATGCAACATGTTTCATGGGCTATCATATACCCAGGTATGGCTGCATTAGACTTTTGACATACTCCATGCACATATTGGCTTTAGTCATTATATGTAGGCATTTGTTCTAGCATTGCTTCTAGGATTATCTCTCTACTGATGTTATTGCTAAGCTATGGACTAGAAATTCTGTGGTTGTTGTGCAGAAATTCTGTGGTTGTTGTGCAGGGTAACAGTATCCTAGTGATGTGTGAGACCTATTCCAAGGACGGGACACCTCACCCTACAAACAAGAGATACTCTTGTGACAGGATAATGGAGAGGTGTGTACTACTGGAGGTCACCATGTTACATGTAGTTGACTTGTTTGCTTTGCCCTTGCCATTCTACGTCTCACCTTTTTGTTGACACGTGGAAGTAAAACACCCACACACTCTCTACCAAACTATTCAAACCTCATAGTGTGTGCATAGTTTACTTTACGTGAAAACTTCGTGAAAGCAAAACATTTTTGGTGGCTTACATGAACAACTTGTTACAGTATGATACAATGCAGTATACAATCAGCAATTCAGACCACTACATACGTAGGCTCAGCCTCACTCTCCAGTTATATACTGTACTACTAATGTACGTATCTGTGTGTCAGAGTGATGGATGAGGAGAACCCAGAGTTTGCCATAGAGCAGGAGTACACTCTACTGGACTACGATGGCCACCCGTTTGGCTGGCCAAAGTCGGGCTACCCTGGACAGCAAGGTCCCTACTACTGTGCCGTGGGAGCCACCAACGTCTTTGGGAGACAGGTCTGCCCCACCCCACATTGACACACACACGCACAGTGGCAGATCCAGGGGGTTCCTTTGGTTCCGCGGAACCCTCCTTTTTGTCGTTTTGCGTGCATGCATCGCCGGTCTTGTGCGCGCACACGAGTGCAGTCCAAAACGTTTTGGACAGCTGAACCCCCTTTTGATAATCTTAGATCCGCCACTGACACACACATTGTGATGATATCAACCTGTAGTGGATGAAGTGAGCACATTGTAGTCCCAATTAAAAGAGGAGACTGGTAATCACTATGCTAAAGGTAACAGTGTCCAGGTAAAAAGGGGCATTGTTTCATTAAGTCATGGTTTACTGTTTTCTGTTGTTTCATGGTCTAGTCTAACCCCTAGCCCTGTTCCCCTATAGCATACTTACTGTGTGTTTAACCAGTGTATCATGTACTGTGAATTGTTCCTTCTTCTGTTTTGTTTGAAGAACCTAAAAACGAAGCGGTTCGTGCATTGATGATAGGCCATTTTACACATGTGCCCACGTAACTGTCATGTCTATCACGTGGTGTTTTGTGTCCCACTGTACTCAGATATCAGAGGCCCACTACAAGGCCTGTCTGTACGCAGGGCTGTGTGTGAGTGGCTCCAATGCAGAGGTGATGCCAGCTCAGTGGGAGTACCAGGTTGGACCTTGTCTGGGGACCGCCATGGGAGATGAACTATGGGTCTCCAGGTCTGTACATATTCCAGTTTTATGTATATAGTACAAGTCAAAAAAAAGTAAACAACGGTAGCGGTAGCTACCGGTAGCTACCGGTAACGGTAGGGTAACGGTAGGGTAACGGTACAGTACTTCCGCGGTACAACAGCGGTACTCTAGAGGTAAACGTGAGGTACTTCGACAGTACTTCGTCGGTACTTTATATAGGTAGCTACTTCTGCGGTACAGAAAGGTACGGCGAAGGGTACTCAAGTAAGGGTAGAGGTACACTTCACGGCAAAGCTCGCGCATTACGCACTACAATGCAGCCAAGCACCCGCGGCAGACGCCGTGACCGCCGCGGGAACACGCGGCCCACCCCGCCGCGGCATAGGCGCTATCCAGAGCTCCGTCATGACGGCCATGGGGCAGTAGAGCAGCCTAGATCCGGATCGTGCCGCGAGTGATGGCTGGCCAGCAGAGCTCGGCCGCTAGGCACGCCAGCTTCCATTAGGCCGACGGTCGCCCCCACCACCATCGCGCGAGACCGACCGCGAACGAACGGCGGGAGGATCGTGGCTCGCCCGTGCTATTCTCGGCCTATAGGGTAGTAAGTGTAGCACTGCTAGCGCTACTACCGTACAAGACGAAAATCTGGCGTTTCCCTGTTTTCGCAGCACTACTTGTGAAGCTTACTTCAACGGTACCTCACGCCTTGCGTGCGGTACCGCGGTAGGATACTTCACCGAACTTTCACGGTACCTTCAAAGGTACTTTGTAGGGTATAAACTGAAGGGTACGTGAAAGGTACGTGAAGGGTACGTAGCGGTAACGCATAGGTAGTACCGTTACCGTATAGCGGTACATTGTTTACTTTTTTTTGACCTGTGCTGTAACTAGAGAGATTTCAAAGGAACTCGTATACCCAGTGTGCCCGATGTGTGTATATATATACCCTTTCGTGTCTTGATCTTGTCTAGAGGTGTGTTTGACAGCTCAAAATGTACACCCTAGTTTTGAGGAAGGCCTGGGAACTAGGGTTCACCCTTGCCTTGTAGTGTGCTGTAGACTTTGTTCTTGCTTCATGGACTATCTGTAGATTTATGTGCAAGCCTCACATTTTATTTTAGCCCCAACATCTAGAAACACTGTCACCACAAAAAATGTGTATATCATGTAGATGTCACTTCATTCACTGTCACCACCGACTATATGTGGCTGCAGGTACATATTGCACCGTGTGGCGGAGCATTTCGGAGTGATAGTGACTCTGGACCCCAAACCCATGCCGGGAGACTGGAACGGGGCTGGAGGCCACTGCAACTTCAGCACCTCCAGAATGAAGGCTGAGAATGGCATGAAGGTATGTCCATACCACCTCTCTCATCTCATTAGCTTTGTCACTGGGACTGTACTTAACTTTAGGAACTTCCAAGGCTCTGTTATTATGTCACATTGTAGGACACATTTTGCTTTGGCTATGTTTTTCAAGATTCAAAAAAGGTTTGGACAAGTAGCAGTAGCTCCATTGCCAACATGCACACACATATGTACAGTACAGGGCAGAGCCAACAATGAGATGTGTCTGTTTTACGTACCTCCTTGACTTCGACATTTCCTCCCTTTCCCGGGCGATTACTGAGACTGGGACTGTTGAATGCACAGTACCCATAACAATAGGAGACAAGAATGTAATTGTGTGTGTGCTGCAGGTGATGGAGGAGGCCATTCAGAGACTGGAGAAGAGACACAAGGAACACATCATACTCTATGACCCCAGTGGGGTGAGTGGAGGGGAGAGAGGGAGGGGGCGATGAGAGTAAGGAAGGGAAGTTTGGTGATAATCAGGCACTCTTCTCTAAAACTACTTCTTCACTTGCTAACAGCAGTCTACATTATGCGAATGGCAAGGTGCATGGAGTCTGGGTTTATGGAATGGTGGTGAACAAGAGTATGTAACCAGTTTTCAATCTTTCTCTCTCCTATTTTCCTATTATCTATCTCTACAATTCTCCCCTCCCTCCCCTCTTCCTATCCGACCCAGCTGGAGTAGACAACAGTCGTAGACTGACAGGTCTTCACGAGACAGCTCACATTGACCAGTTCTTCTGGGGAGTGGCCCAACAGAGGAGCCTCCATCAGAATACCTCGTGGAGTCGCTCAAGGTTGACATAATTATGACATCATACATATTAGCATAGGACCATTATCCACTTGACTAGAACATGTTGGAGTCTCTCTTGTAGCATTTGACCACTACAATGAAAGTGTGTTAGAGAGCTCTTTGTTTACAGTGGGTGTTGTTTAGAGTCACGAACTATACTGTTTACATACATGTTTGTGCATATCTAGTATCTAGTAGGTATTGGTATGATAGTGACAATAGCAACTTTCTCTCCTCTCCCACATGACGTGTGTGTTTGCAGCTGGTCGAGGCTACCTTGAGGACAGACGGCCGTCCAGTAATGGCGATCCCTACCTGGTGTGTGAGGCTCTGGTCCGTACTGCAGTCCTGGATGACTGGACTGACTTTGACTGGACTAACATGCCCTCTAAACCTTGACCGACTTTGTCTCTACTAGCTACCACTGATTGTACACCAACTGAAATCTCTGGTTTTCTTTTTCACCATTAGTTTTGTCTGCGTTCGCATCGTTGCAGTGGCAAGTAGCTAATGGCATGGCAGAGCCTCTGGAGCACTATCATGAGAGTGTGTTGCCAATTTCACAGGGCTTTAGAAAGGGTATCTGTGGGGAAGAGAGATGGAGAGAAGAGCCTGAGGGGGAGAGGGTGGAATTGCAGTAATCTCATGAAAGAGACACTCAGCAACAGTATCTGCACTAGGCAATTCTGCTGATTCATTAATCAATAGCGTCTCAACAGCTGCATCTGATAATCTCGAAAGAGAAGGATCTACATCCCGCCCGGCCCCGTACACATTGTTGGAAACTGACCCTCAGTTTAGATAGCTACACTCTAGACTGTATGCTGCGGTGCAGGTGCACGTCTTGCTGTATACGTCGGGTAAAAAGAGTGGGTGGAGCTGGATTGTGCTGGTAGGCGTAACAAGCCCTGCCCTTTATTCCTTCGATCGGTATCGTGTGTCCCCGACTTTATCAGAGAGATGGCCGAAGGTAAGGTCAATATCTCGGTTGGCCTTCATCGCTAACGGGTTATCCCGTACACAGCACCGACGACAGGTGGCGAGGTCCTGACTCCAAACGATGCCGTCAAAGTACTGGAGGAGCTACTACCAGCACAGAACAAGTCCTTCCAACTGGGCCTGAAGCTGAATCTAGAGCCGCATCAAGTTGAGGGCATCCATTCAACGTACTCCGAGCCAGAGAACCGCCTCCTCCGAGTTGTCATGCTGTTCCTGAACCAAGTAGAGCCCAGACCAACCTGGAGAGTCATTGTAGATGCTCTCAAAAGTCCTGTAGTCAATCTTCCTCAGCTAGCAGTGGCTGTGGAGGCAGCTCACTTTCCTGACGCTACACCAGCACTCGTGGCCGAAGCCAGTGGTAGGAGTGTTTGAGATTCTTCTCCTCAGTTTTAATATTATACTACATTGTCTCTCTCTCTGTTTCAGTCTCTTCCTCTCAGAGTCCAGCCACCTCCTCTCAACCAGGCCTGTCCTCTCTTCTCCATGGTAATGACTTACTAACTAACATTAGACTGTGTGTTGGCTCTCAACATAATACCAGTTCATATTTCTGCAAGACATGCTTGTTTCACCACTCCATGTTTCCACAGGTTCTGGAGCCTCACCACTCACTGAAGTCGACTATCAACCAGACCTACCACAACCAAGTTAGTCCGCCACTACTGTAGCTGTTAACAAGTTTAGCAATGCCACTCCGGAAAATTTGTAATGGTCTTGATTCTCTGCCAGTCACATCACCTGTGTCATAATCATAAGCCAAGTTGAAATAATCTTTTTAAGAGGGTAATATAATAAAATGAAGAATATGTAATCTTTCCAGCCCTATTAGTCAGTACCCTTATGCTTTAAGAGGGTAATACAGCTATACCGGTATAAGATCACAATGAAGAACATGTAATCTTATTACGTAACCCTATTAGTCAGCACCCCTATGGCAGCTGCCATTGGACCCAGCAATTGTGTTGATGGCTCTGCAAACAAGTATAATGCAGTTGAACCACACCCACACAAAAATTGTAATAGCAGTAATGAATAAACTTTGCATACTTTATACATTTAAGGAAACAATGAATATTGATACAGTGCCCGTTAATGTACATTATACACGTTATGAGTGTAAAACGTTTCATAAAAATGAGTCCATTCCTTCATCTCTAGCAACTGGGGATACAGTGACTGAACTCCAGCATCGACCAGAGTCGCCTCAGCCTAGTACGTATGCTCCACACTTGTCTGGGATATTGTCACTGATCCATAACTCTATGTGACCATGGTCTGTCCAACAGGTCCAATGACCACTCAGTATGTCCAGGCCAAGATTAGAAGGTTTGAGAAGAGGTTCAATGACCTGAAGAAGGCTGCCAGGGGGTGCCTCGAGAAACGCAAGATTTCTGTCAAGCAAGTCGTTGACGCTCTCACGTCAATGCCTGCAGATGACATTGAGGAACATGAACTGTTTCTGAAAGACAATCTGAGCGATCTCTACCAGTCAACAGATATCCCTGAGCTGATTGGTAAGTTGAGCCTACTGCAGTGGAACTACCTGTCCTACCAGCTGCTGGACTACCTGATCAAGGAGTTTGGTTTTGAGGTGAGGAGGGAGATGGAGGCCTACAAGCTAGATCTGCAGAGGTTCCGCCAGAAGACACCACTAGCTCTGTTCTGCCAGTGCCAAAAGAAGAGGAGAAGGAAGCCGTCTGAGGAATTCAAGGAGATGGTCGCTGAGTTTGACTGGCCGCACGAAGTGACACTGGAAGTTGTGGAGCAGTTTCGACAAGAGTATGCCTATCACTACAAGCTTCGAGACTGTGCCATGATAGTAGCTGAGATTCGTCCCGGTTCCTTCATCATCACCTGGTTCATACCAGAGTCCATTGTCAAGAAACTGAGAGAAGACATCCCTCACCACATCCTCAAGAAATATACTGTCGTTAGCCTTCAAATTGCAGGAGTCAAGGTTTATCCACCTCCTCAGGTGAGACTGTGTGTTGTATAATAACTCCTTGTTACCTGAGACCTCCATGTCTGTATGGCAGAAGTCAGCAGCAGTCTCGTCACCTGGTCCTGGACCTTCAGCTGGTGGTGCCGCTGCTTCTGTTGAGAAATCACCTCCTCAGTATGTTACTATACCCATTGTTGCATGGTGAACTCCATTACCACGATACCATCCATCCAGGTCCAAGACAGAGGAGTCCCGTCTCTCACCAGAAGAGGATTACCCCTTCGTTGAGAAGCCATCAGAGGATTTCTTCTGTCCGGTGACGTTGGGTCTGCTGCTCCAGCCTCACCAGACGTCATGCTGTGGTAAACATCTCTCAGAGGAGTCTGCCACCAGAATACAGAGAGAGGGAGGACCATGTCCACTCTGCAAGTCTCCTGACTGGAGTACCGTTTTGGACAAACACGTCCGTCGACAAGTCAAAGAACTTCGTGTGTTCTGTCGTCACAAGGAGAAAGGCTGTTGGTGGAAAGGAGAGTTGTCTGACTTTACAAAACATGTCCAGTCTTGCCGGTTCAGGTATTTATGTCAATCAGTTTTTGGACCGCCTTGAGCCGTTCTTTTCCCTATACAGATATCTACCAGCCTCTACCCAGGTTTGTACAACCGGAAGTTGCTATTTTTCCACTAAACCTGTTTCTGTGTGTTTTTATCCACACTTCTCTCTCCCTATCTACCATTGTGTCTCTCCCTCTGCCCAGGGAAGAACAGAGCTCCCACGATGCTGCTGAGAGAGGAGATGTGGAGGCAGTTGAGAGACTCCTCTCCACTTCTGTCAATATCAACTCCAGGACAGAGGATGTGAGGCTCTCTACTAGTGAATGTGTAGTCTCATTTCTGACTCAGTTCATTGACTGCTTCTCCACTGGTCTCTGTATCCCCACCACTTGCAGGAAGGAGACACTGCTCTACTGTTAGCCTCTTGGAAAGGCCATGTTGAGGTTGTACGTCTGTTGCTCAAGGCTGGGGCTGCTGTCTTCATTCCTGACAAGGTTTTCGCAACCATGTCGTGCTCTGTTTATTGTCTTTATGTACACAGTGTTGTTGTTAGCTTATTAGCTCTGTTCTTCAGTATGTGAGGTTTTCACTGTTAGCCTATAGTGAGAAGTGTAGACTATAGACTTGTGAAAGTAGGATGAGGAGGAGACCTGACAGAGATGGTTGTCAGATCTCCTGGTGTCCAGGGAGGGAGATGAGTGGCCAGTAGTGAGTCAGGAATGTCTCATTAGTTCTCTCTCACTGTACAGGATGGTCGCAGTCCACTCTTTGTTGCCAGTCACCAGGGACATTCTGAGGTGGTGGATGTTCTGGTGAAAGCTGGAGCTGATATCAATCAGGCAGGGACCAAGGTACGTATGTGAAACATTCTGAGAGAGTTTGATAGATTTACAGTGTCTTCCTGTTAACACAATGCTAAGTGAAGTCATGGAATTATTAACTAAACTAGTTCGGAACCTAATAATAGGTTAGTGGTTATTGGCGAGTGAACCAACTTGTGTCTACCGGCCGATTTTCTATATAATTGTTATATGATGGGGACTGCACATACCGTAATGACGTGATTCATGAAATGAACGAATAATCGGAACTGCTCGGTTCACTTGCCAAGAATGTGTTGCCTTCTTCTAGTAAAAGGGGTGTTGTACCTCTTTCAGCTGTCCCGGTATTACCTATTGGATATTGCATTATACACCATTGCAGAGCAGCATTCCCTGGTCATTTCTTACTCCTGTCCTGGGAACTAGGCTATTATACTATGGGTACAACTGTGACTCCAGTCATCCCTGGAAAGATTGTGGCACACTTCTCTGTCTGTCTGCTAAGCTTAAAGCATTGGGCGGTCAGTTGAGTGGCTGGTGTCTGTAGCTAGAGGTCAAAGGTTTGAGGAGTCCACTTCTCAAATTTTAAAAATGCAGTTTTCGACATTAGTGGCGATCTGTTCTTGGTATTTGTCCACTTTTTGGAGATGAATTGTCCAATTTTACAACAAGGTTACAAATTTTTACTTACATCCCAAAGGTATAGGAATGGTGTCATCAGCTTTGTGTATATAAATTATAAAGAGACCTTGTTTATTTTTGGTGCTTCCAGCCATCCCTATATCCCCTTCTACACTAAAGTGGGAACCCTCGGCGAAATGTCCATGCGCGGTACCGCTAATTGATGGGCTGGGCTGTTTACTCGTGATCTCCTGCTGAACTCGTGGAGAGTCTGACACGGGCTAGCTACAGTAGTAGATAGCATGCTGGAGTCGATACACACCCTTCGTTGTTACTTCTTGTGCCTTCAAGATACACAGAGCAAGCGGACCCAGTCGAGGTAAGCCTGTGCATATTGGCTTGTTCACTTTGTTTTCATGCCATGACTTTAAAACGCAGTAGTTTTATGAAAATCACCTTTTTCAAAATGAAGCCATTTTTGTATTGGAGAAGTGAGTCGGAGTTTCTGGAGCTTACTGCTCTCTTATAGACACGATTTCGTTTGTTTATTTTTGCTCTGATACAATTGTTCAACCAGGGGAGACTACGTGAGGTTGCCATAATGGTCACTTTGGGTATACACATTCCCACTATTCCCATAAATGTCTTGTACCACAGACTCCATGCTTTCTCAATGTCTGATTCTCTGTAAATATCACTCCAGTCTTTGGAGAGTATAATAGCATTGGCTTTGGTAAAGTCTGCCTGGGAGTATCTCCAGATTGTTCGTGCACCATTATTAGTCCCAAATGTAGGGGGAAAAACCTGACATCGAGGCTCTGAAGAATAAAATATAGATTTTCAATTGCTTCTCTATCATGGGGTGGTCGATACCACACTCCCACATGAAGTTTTTGTGTTGGCTTACTTGCATCGTATACAGAGACCATGAGTGGAACTCTGATCCATTGTTCCCAGAAAGTAGCGCCTGTGACTCTAGTGTGTCAGATATAAACATGGCTACTCCTCCACCACGACGATGTCTGACATGTCGGATTACCCTTGGTTAGACCGCAGTCACGCGCAATTGACCAATCAGATTACAGAATTGCGGGGGGTTTATTTTTCATAGACACCTCGTTTCAGGTGTCTAATGGCGTTTGCAGGTGGTCTACAGCAAACTCCCCGTACAAATGGCTATCTCAAAAGTCGTTATCTGTGCAAACCGGCCGATTCCGCGTTCGGTATATGTAAGCGTAGAAGGCGCGACTGGCAAAGTAGCTCTTTTAAAATGCGTAGTGCACCTGCAAGAAGTCTGTGGACAGTCTCCGGAGCTCGCGAAAGTCAGAAATCACGTCAATATTCCACGAAAAAGCGTCGGCTTCTTCAACTCTGGCGATACACAAACACATGTGGGCCGTTGCCGTGCGTTGCTAACCCTTTCAAACGCGCACCACCAATGAGGGCGTTTTATGATGACGTAAACGATTTTTGACGGGGGGCGGGGCTGTCTCCTCGGAGTCTCACACGTAAAAAAGCGTCTTGTTCCATCCGAAGATGAGGAATGAGCGCAGCGTTGCTAGCTTGTTGCTACCCATTTGAACGCGCAAACACCAATCAGATACTCCGGTCTAAACCGGTTAGACGCGGAAGCTCGGTTGTCTACGCAACATTGCACCCTCGGGGCATGTGGGTAGCGCCCTCGCTGCGCTCGGGACGCCAACATTCCACAGCCCCTCGGGTTGCAATGTAGCGTAGACACCTCGCTTCCGCGTCTACCTATATATAGAACACACCAACAACGC